TCCGGCTGTCCCGTTTCTGTAATCAAGCCGTCTGTTTAGTAATTTTTTCTGGCTCCGCTGCGTCGGAGAAAATCTGTATCTGTTGATATTGCCCGTTGCTCACTCCTCCCGTCTCAAAATAAAGCACGAGCTCTCCAGTCGAATGGCAGACTTCTACCTTGACGTTTGGTCAGGTCACGAACTCCCACCTCTGCAGAGGGCTCATTCAAAATTCTTACACTCTGTCTTGTGTGTGAATTCTTTAAAGGTGTTACGAGGGAAAAAATCCCTTACATGCTGTAATCAGTCACCTAATGAAAGATGGAAGTGAAAGACCAATTGCATTTGCATCAAGAATGTTAACCAAGACAGAACAGAACTATGCACAGATAGAAAAAGAAGCACTTGGTTTAGTATTTGGCGTTATGAAGTTCCATGACTACCTTTATGGAAAGAAGTTAATTTTGGTGACAGACCACAAACCATTGATAAAAGTTTTGGGACCAAAAACAGGTGTGCCTACACTAGCTGCTGCTAGATTGCAAAGGTGGGCTCTAATCCTGGCTGCATACAAGTACGAGATTCAGTACAAAAGATCTGAGCAGCATAGTGATTCAGATGCTTTATTAAGGTTACCCATTGAGTGTGGAGGTGGTGTCAAACCCCATTTATAAAGTATCTTACCTTGAAGCGTTACCTGTCGCAGCAAGGGAGATCGCCAAAGAAACAGGCAAAGATCATGTGTTGAAAGTGGTGAAACAGATGGTGTTGACTGGCTGGCCTAAACATGTACATGATGAGTCGCTGAAGCCTTATTTTCAAAGATGGTTTGAGCTTACTGTTGAAGATGATTGTCTGCTGTGGGGGCTACGAGTAGTGGTTCCTAAAAAATTAAGGGATCAGCTGATCTCTGAACTGCATGAACACCACTGGGGAATAGTAAAGATGAAATCACTTGTCAGAAGTTTTTTTTGGTGGCCAGCAGATGAGTGCATTGAACAGGAAGTCAGTGAATGTACCATTTGTCAAAAGCAGCGTAGTATGCCTTGTACTACACCAGTACATAAATGGAAATGGGCTGCCAGTCCCTGTTGAGAAGATCCATCTGGATTTAGCAGAGGACCACAAACAGATGTTTCTGGTAGTGATGGATACCTATGCTCGATGGCCAGAGGTGATTCCTATGCATACTACTACCTCAGCTAAATCCTCAGATAATGGGCCTCAGTTTGTTTCACAAGTGTGAGTCATTTCTAAAGAAAAATGGAGTGCAGCACATTAAATCACCTGCTTACCATTCTGCCAGCAATAGATTAGCAGAACGATTAGTCCAAAATCTTAAGAAGTCGCTAGCAAAGAATCGAGCCATGGGGGGCATGACACTTGATCACTGTGTGTCAAATTTCCTTTTAGGGTACCGAAACACGCCTCATACAATGATGGGGAAAACTGCTGAGTTGTTTCTAAAAAGACAAGTTCGAACAAGACTGTCATTGATCAGACCTCAGTTCTCTCAGAGAATGCAAAACAAAACAGAACCAACTTTTCTACGTGTTACAGTTTTTACAGTAGGTCAACCTGTATTGGTAAAAAAATTACAGGGGAGAAGTGATTGAATGGAGTTGTACAAGAAATTCTGGGCCCTGTAACTTACAATGTTGAAGTGAATGCGAAGTGTGTAAAAAAAAACGTGAACCAGATGTTGGGAGTACATGGAAATCCAGCTCATTTGACTAAAATAGACTTGTGTTGGAACCTTTTGGGATTGTGATGATCTTGATAAAACCAAAGATGTAGATCAACAGATGGAAGAAAACACTGTTGGGAAACAACCAATAGAGTTGCCGTCATCTACAGTCGAAGGGAACACTCGCCCAGTGAGGAACCAGCGGCCTCCTGATAGACTGAACTTAAAATTGCATATAGATGTTAAAAATTTTTTTTCCTTGATTTCTGTTGATAAAAAAAAAACATAACTAAAATGTTTAAGCGATGGAGAAGTATTGATTTTGCAGGGGAGGAGCTGTGTTGTTCCAGACACAGAAATTTATGAACATGTAGTTTAAAGAGTTTTGAAACTATGTTATGATTTGTTCTCCTGTGTGGTGATTATTTGTATCTAAGTTGAAGATGAAGAATAAGAAATATACACAAGGGGGTGCTCTTGCTCTGTACAAGAGATGGGGACCGGATCTGTGGGGTGTTCTGAAGAGGAAGTCCAATGAGGAAATAATAAAGTTGCCATGTGGTACTTCCAGTTATCTGCTTGAATATTCTTTTATTTTACCAAGTATGTCATACACAACACCCGCTCACCCTTATAAACAATGAACATATAAAATATGAAAAAGTCAACATCAAAAACAAACAAAACTCAAACTGAACTAACTTCCAAGGCAGGGGTCTCAGAAATGGACACTGCTTCGCCTCCAAAGGCAGCCTCATTAGTTAATGAAGTGGGCCCTTAATGGCTAAGGACTCACCGTAGAAAGTACTCATCAGAAACCTTATTTATTTACATATTGTGCACCATAAACCAAATGCAAGTCTTAATTAGTAGTATCAGAGTGGGTAAACCTCATTTTCCTGAGCGTGTAGATGATGTCTTCTTGAAGGCTCCGAGTTTTTCTCTGTAACCGGCTGCTGGGTCTCATCTCTCTTTCGCCGCACCGCTCTTCTCCCCACCATGCTCCAGGTCAGCTGCTTCAGTTGTTCCAGGGCTGTTTCTGGTGATTTAACGACCTTCACAGTTTAGGCTCTTCTGGACATGTCTTCAGTGGCTTCCATTACTGTGTTGTAGATCTTCATTTCATCTTCATACTTCACCCTCAACCGAGATAGACAAGAGGGTCTGAAAAGGGATCTGCAGCTCTTTCAGAATCTTGTGCACATCTGCATATTCTTTTCTTTTTTTACGATCAGAAGGGGGTAGTCTAGTCATGATATAAATTCACTTGTTTGCTGTTCCAGGTAAATCCTCTTTTCTGCCATGACTTGTGGAGCAGGGGTTCTTTTGTTTTAAGACTGAGGAACTTCACAATAATAGATCACGGTGGAGTGTCGCTTGGTGGTTTCGGGCTTAGAGAGCGATGTGTCCATTCAATATGTAAATCGAGCTCATCTTGGGACAGCTCCAAGCCGTCACTGAGCAACTTCTCAACAAAATCACTCACTGTTGGAGTCTCATTCTGCTGTTTCGGTTATGCCATAGATGCGTATATTCTCTCTTCTTGTATGGCTCTCTAGGTCCATTAATTTATCCTCCAACTGTATCTGTAGCTTTGTTATTTCAGTCATGGCGTCAATTCTCTCCTCCGCTTTCTCAATCTGCCCCTCAGCTTCATCCAGTCTGGCACTCACCTTTAGGATTTCTTTCTTAATTTCCCCTAATTGCACCTTATTTTCCTGGCAAAAGCCTCTTATTTCTTGTAGAAATGTGTCCAATTCAACATATTTCTACAGTAGGTTGCTTAACTCAAGTCACAAAGGGCAACAATAGTTCTTCACGGTGCAGATTCGTACTGAATGGTGATTAGCATTAGCCAAAATGATAGAGGTATTTTCCCAACTTTAAACTTCGCCTTTTTCTTTTGCCTCTTCGAAGCATCGGTTTTGGTGTATTTCACTCACCCCCTTCCTTTTTCACGTCTACAGATAAGTTTGCGTCGTGTTAATGGGGTTAGGTTATCTATTTCTTAGGTTTCCTCAGGAGCTCGTTCATAGCGCAGCCAACATGATGACGTTCAAACCGCAAGTTCCAGCAAAAACAAGTTCATTCAAATGTAATTTGTTAGGAAATCCGGTTGACAACAACATCAAGTTCACCAGAGAGGATGCAAACAACAACAAGCCGCCTTTTTTGGACTGTTTGGTTCACATGGAATGAGAGGACAACCTCAACATTGAAGTCTACAGGAAACCAACCCACACAGACCAGTATCTTCTGTTTGACTCTCACCATCCACTGGAACACAAACTCTTCGATTTCGATAAGCAAGTTTCAAAGATAAAAATTACATCAGCCCCAGTTGAACAGACCCAAAAAAAAAAATCACATTTCTCCAGTTTTAGTTTCTCTCCATTGGCTCCGACAAATCCAGAATAGAATTCAAAATCTTACTTCTAACCTACAAAGCTCTCAACAACCTAGCTCCATCTTATATATCAGATCTTATTGTTCCACATTTTCTTAACAGAGCACTTCACTCTCAGACTGCAGGTTTACTTGTGGTTCCTAGAGTTTACAAAAACAGAATGGGAGGAAGATCTTCCAGTTCTCAGGCTCCTCTCTTGTGGAACCAACTTCCAGTTTCTGTCCATGAGACTGACCCATTGTCCAGTTTAAAACTTTCCTTTTTGATAAATCCTATAGTTAGGGTCGGCTTGTTATGCTGCTATAGACTTAGACTACTAGAGGACAAACTGACCTCATTTCCTTAAATGAATTGTTAAAATTGAATAGTTTTCATTTGATACTATTTCTATCTTAACATGTTGATCTTGGCCTGCCATTGTGTATCTATTCCTACCAAACCCAGCCGGTCGAAGCAGATGGTCCTCTTGTCCTGGTCCTGGTTCTGCTAAAGGTTTCTTCCTCATGAGGGAGTTTTTCTTTCCACTGTCGCCTTCATGCTTGTTCAAGATGAGAGTTCAGTGATGGAGTTAAACTCAAAGCTGCTCCTCAGATAAATAATGTTCCATTATTATTTTATAGATTAATGTTTCTGTTCAGTCCCTGAGACGACTTCTGTTGAGACTTGGAGCTTTAGAAATAAAGTGAATTGAAATGAATGCTTTTGAAATCATTTGGTGTGCTGTGTGGGAATTCATACACAAAATGAATGAGTCCACTGATAATTTTGTGACAGTGGCTGAAATTGTCAGTTTTTCTTTTAGAGTCAAATAAAATTTCACAACAAGAAATGTTTCAAATATGTTTTTTAATTCAAAGCTGTTAACAGATATAATAAATTTGACAATCCATTTTTTAAATTCAAAAACAGTCATTTTACTTCATCAGCTGATCAGTGACTTTTCAGAGTACATTTCCTGACTTGTTTGTAAAAAGTCTGCTGCTGTGGTTCATCTGGTCTCTGCAGGACTTTGGGCTCAGTTTGTGGACAACTTGGTTAATAAATGTAGATTTTTAGAAAGCACAAGAGTGTTGAAGCCCCAAACCTACTGAACTGCAGCTGGACAGTCTGGCAGACACTTCTTCATCTTGAACTGTGAAGCCTTAAAGATTCTTCAAAATTATTTAGCACCTGAACATTTATTTAAATGTATATATTCAAATCATAAACTGCAGAAAAACCTTTGAAGCAGAAATTACAGAGCGGTGAGACACATTCAACCACTGTGTCTTCTTCATCCTAAAACTCCACTGCTTTAACATTTCTGCTTTAATCCAGTCTCCTGGATGAAAATTAACAGGAAGATTCCATCCAGATTTAGCTGAGCCAGTGGAGAGAGAGGAGCAGAGTTGAAGCGTTCAGCCCGATCTGTCCTGCAGGGACGTCACCGCGTACAGGTCGTCCCGACGCTGACACGTGATCGGGATCTGCTGCCGGATGTCAGCCAAATACTGTAAGTCTGGAGTGAGGCGACACACCAACAGAGGGTTTGTGTCAAAATAAAGGGAACATAAAAACAGCTAAATGTCAGCGCTCCTGTCCTGCATCAGCTACAGACTATTCAGTCAGCCGTTTCATTTGCTTTGTTGAAGTCTGGCATGAATCTTTCTGCAGAGCTAATTTAATTAAATTTTGTTCTGCATTACTGTTTGTTTTTTTTTTCAATTATGTTTTAGAATCTCTTAAAAACAATTTACAGGTTTTATTGTTGCTTTGTAGTTTTGAGACAAAGTAAATGCTGAGATTAAAGTCAAAATATTCAGAATAAAGTCTAGCTCAAGGGGGCAAACCTTATTGTGTTCTTCCAAAATATTTTTTGTTCTGATATTTTAAAATTATTATTATTTCTGCAACTGAGGATTAGGATTATGGGAATACTTTTACCAAGTATAAAATAACGCAAAACTTGTTGTTAAACCAGTCTGAGGCTCCGTCTTCTTGACTATAGCTGCAGCAAGAACTGCAGCAGTGGAACTCACAACTTCCTCCAATCCTTCACACCAAGTGTGAACCATGTACACTGAAGCTCAGCCTCACTAACAACCTGCACATCACCCGTCTAATCCACCATAGAGAGCTCTGCTCCTCCATTGTGGTATATGCTCTCTCCATACTGGTGCAATTTGTCAACATTTATATACATTGTATTTAGAGGATAACCCTCTTATTTTTATTTAAATACCTGCCAGGGCATAAAGTGTCTGTTTCTCAAAGCTCAGCTCTGTTGGCAACACGCGTCAACAAATGGCAATAACTTTAGAGCTTGTACAGTCTTATTTGTGTCTTAGATGAAAAAAAAAAGAGGAATTTGCTGCCCCTTCTGCCTTCATATAAAGAGGGTAGGGGTGCAAGGGACATTTTAACCAGTAATTTCAGAAATAGAAATTGTAAAAAAAAAAAAAAAAGTGAGCAAAATCTTGTTTTATATTCAGAAATTTAAAAGTTCTGAACTTGTGACTCGCATGAGGAAATTTAAAATTTCTAACGTTTTTAAAACATTTGGAAAACTCATTCACAATTTGTTGCCCACAGTCAGACATTAATGAGAAACAGTCTTCTTTCTCACAGTCTGCACCAAATCGACACAAAAAATAAACAAGTGTTATTCACTCACCGATGTCAGCATAGATGATGGTTTCCTCTGTTCCGGCCTTGGAGATGACCTCCCCCCTGTAAAATACAGACCATGTCTGCACAATCCAACATCTGAAACATTCACCGTTTCAAACTGGTGGGTCCATTCCATCATTACTATGATAGGAACCTGATTCCACCAAAGCCTTCTACAGTCCTTCTTAACTTTATTACTAAAGTATGTTATCTTATTCTTTTTAATCAAGTTTTAATGCATTTTTATTTTCTTTATCATGGTACACACCAAGTTCTGGGTAACAGTTTTTCCTTCTGACCATGTTCAGTGGTTTGAATAACAATTAGCTGAGTGTGAGTGATACTGTAACTGAGCTGCAGCTTTTACTTTCATCATTGCTAAGTGTTTTTTTGACTGCTAAGTTCATGGCACAAACCAACGCAGACACGTTCCTGTTTTTAGTATTTTATATCGCTTTATAATGTAGCTTCTAAAAAAAAAACTATTTCTTCCATTTACTTTTCATTTTATATGACTGTCTATTGTTGTCTGTACCTCATCTGTTCTTTGTTAAATCAGGTCTCTCTTGTAAATGAGTCCTTGAGTGTCAGTGAGACCTGAACAAATAAAGGTTGAACTGAATGAGAGACATTTACTTTGTAGAAAAACTTTAAATAATGAAAGAGGCATTTTAAAGCATTTTAAAATGTTGCTAGCAGAAGTAGGAACAATATATTTTTTTAAATATTGATTTTTGGACTGAAAGTATGCTGTGTTACAGTTCATTTTATTGTCTTGATTTTTTTTAACAGTGTTAAAAGCAATAATAAAAACAATTAAAAAATGTTAAAATTTTAAGGGAAAAATCTGTTGTATCCAAATTTCATGGCGTCAACAAATCCCAAAAAAGTTGGGACAAGTCCATTTTTCCCACTGTGTGGCATCCCCCCTTCTTCTTACAACACTCAACAGACGTCTGGGGACAGAGGAGACCAGTTTCTCCAGTTTAGAAATAGGAATGCTCTCCCATTCATGTCTAATACAGGCCTCTAACTGTTCAATCGTCTTGGGCCTTCTTTGTGGCACCTTCCTCTTTATGATGCGCCAAATATTCTCTATAGGTGAAAGATCTGGACTGCAGGCTGGCCATTTCAGTACCCGGATCCTTCTCCTACGTAGCCATGATGTTGTGATTGCTGCAGAATGTGGTCTGGCATTATTGTGTTGAAAAATGCAGGGTCTTCCCTGAAAGAGATGACGTCTAGATGGGAGCATATGTTGTTCTAGAACCTGAACATAGTTCTCTGCATTAATGGTGCCTTTCCAGCAGTGGTGGGATGTAACTACGTACAAATACTTTGTTACTGTAATTGAGTACATTTTTCATGTATCTGTACTTTACTTAAGTAGAGTTAAATGTGGGTACTTTATACCTTTACTCCACTACATTTTACATCAAGTATCTGTACTTTCTACTACACTACATTTCTATAACGCGTTGCATTACAAGTTACATTCATGTTGAGGCTTTTTGATTTGTTTGTTACTTTGAAAGTAACCAATGGTGAGAGGGAGCTGGTCCACTGAATCACTGCAAAGTGGGCAGGTAACGTTAGGTCCGCCTTCAAGAAGAGCTGGACCAGTGACATATATTCTAGTATATACTGTATGTCACTGAGCTGGGTGCACCCGCAGCACCACTAACACACCCAGAATGTATTCCACCGCAAGAGAGTCAGCCAGAAGATACGCTCCACCCATGGCCTTATTGAACGACTGCTCAGTACAACAGGACAGCTTCTCTCTCCCAGAAGAGCCAGATTGGACTAAAAAATATTTGAAAACAACTTCTTCTGAACTTGAACAAGAAATTCTTGCTGCAATATTAAAATGTGTCAGTTCATGATGTTAGGAGACAGGATATTTCTCCAAATGTCTCGACACTCAGGTCCAAGTTTTAAAAATGGTGTCAGGAAGTTAAAATATCGTTCAATATTGACCCATTACAAGGTTGAATACACAGTATTTAAACTAGAGTTGATGACAAACTGGAGTTGAAATATCAGTTGAAATGATCAGAGCCTATTCCTTTGTTAGTTGTGTCTGATGCTCCTTTTGTTCAGGCAGACAACTTTTACTTAAATGTGTTTACTGCAGTTAAAATGACACATTGGTTTTTCTTTGTGTTGAATAAAAAGTTTCAAAGGTAAAAGCATTCCTCTTTCTTATTTTGATTAATTACATTTAACTCTGCAGGTCATCCCTGAAATTCTGATGCACAGAATCACAAGTCCAAGTGTGAAATGTGTCACAGAGTAAACACAATAAAAACATGTATTATCTGCAGCATTGTTCATTAAAACAACACTATTAATGTATTACAGAAAATATACATATGGTAGGCAGACTTAAAGATATGTAGACCATTGCATTAGGTAATACATTCAACAAGTACTTTTACTTTTAATACTTAAGTATTTTAAAAGCAAGTACTTATTTACTTTTACTTAAGTAAAAATGTTAATGTGGTACTTCTACTTTTACTAGAGTAATTTTTTGTCTGTTTATTTGTACTTTTACTTAAGTACAGTGTTTGAATACTTTCTCCACCACTGCTTTCCAGACGTGCAAGCTGCCCATGCCACAAGCACTCATGCAACCCCATACCATCAGTGAGGCAGGCTTCTGAACGGAGCGTTGATAACAACTTGGGCTATCCTTGTCCTCTCTGGTCCGGATGACATGGCGTCCCAGTGTTCCATAAAGCACATCAAATCGTGACTCATCTGACCACAGAACAGTCTTCCATTTTCCACACTCCATTTTAAATGACCCCTGTCCCAGTGCAAACGTCTGAGCTTGTGGAGCTTGCTTAGAAATGGCTTCCTCTTTGCACTGTAGAGTTTCAGCTGGCAACAGCGGATGGCACGGTGGATTGTGTTCACTGACAATGCTTTCTGGAAGTATTCCTGAGCCCATTCTGTGATTTCCTTGACAGTGGCATTCCTGTTTGAGGTGCAGTGACGTTTAAGGGCCCGGAGATCACGAGCATCCAGTAGAGTTTTACAGCCTTGACCCTTACGCACAGCGATTGTTCCAGATTCTCTGAAACTTTTGATGTTATGCACGGTTGATGATGATAACTTAAAAGTCTTTGCTATTTTATGCTGGGTAACTGCTATCTTTCTGTGCAACAATGCTGGAATTAGTGATCCTCTTACCATCTTGGCTTCTGAGAGACACTGACACTCTGAGAAGCTATCCTGATGCATGCTCAATAATCCAGGTAGAAAAATCCAAAAAAGTTCAATCTGGTCCTCTGGACATTCAAAAAACAAGAAAACAAAAAAACAAAAAACAAAACAAAGCAAAAAAAATGTAGAAACGTTTCGTCTCTCATCCAAGAGACTTCCTCAGTCTGAGGTGCTGTATTCAGCTCAGTCTCTTAAATAGCACCTTCTCAGAGTGGATCAACCAGTTTGCTGCTGACAACCAAAACCAGCTGCTCACATGGTCAAGAAGGACCATAAACCTAACAATGGATCATTAGCACACTGATGGCTGTTTACTATTCACAGGGGGTTGAGTGATACTAGTAATCACAGCATTGTAAGAGGGGGACAGTTGAACCCGGAGGCCTCCGCCCCTGTTTAATGATGGACGATTTCTTTTCACAAAGATGGCCTCCTTTACTCCTCTCTAAAACCATCGTTCCTCTCTGTCCAGGATGTGAACATCTTCATCCCTGAAAGAGTGACCTCTGACCTGGAGATGAGTGTAGACCGCAGAATCCTGGCCTGATGATGTTCATCTTCAGTGCTGGGCCATAGCTTTCAACACCAGATGATCTGTGTTTGATCCTGTATGCTCCACACTGGTTTGTCATTATCTGCATCGTTTTTTGTCTATATTCTGATTTACCTCATTTTGTATTTTGCTTTGCGTGTTACCTGTTGTTTTGTCTGTACAGCACTTTGGTTGGCCTTGTTGCTGTTTTAAGTGCTTTATAAATAAAGTGGTATGGGCCATCCTTTTGGCCAGTGGCTGTTTAGTTTCCCCGATGTAAGACTGATCACCCTCCTGACACTGAACAACATACACAATATTACTCTGTTTGTGCCGGGGGACTGGATCTTTGGGATGAACCAGTCTTTAATGTATTTTGGGGTTTAAAAGCCACTGGGACGTTGTGTTTAGAAAATAAACGTCTCAGTTTCTCTGATACTCCCTCTGTGTAGGGCAGCAGAGAGTGTGAAAACACAAGCAAAAGAACTGTTCAGGTCCTACAAAGATTGCTCTGCTGAATGTGAGGTCGCTGGCAAATAAAACCTTCATCTTAAACAACTTTTTCTGCTCCAATGGACTGGACTTCATGTTTGTTACAGAGACCTGGCTCGTCCCTGGTGAGTTAAGTGTTTTTTCTGAACTTTTGCCAGTGGATTGTGCCTTTTTTAATGCTCCAAGGACTTCTGGTAGGGGTGGTGGATTATTAACAGTTTTTAAAAATCTCTGGAACTGCAGACAGCTACAGGCTGTAGCTTTTCAGAATTTTGAACTTCTGTATTTTGAGCTGGGCCGCTCCAACCCAACACTGTGCAGCCTGATCTACAGACCACCCTCGTACAACAAAAACTTCATAAGCAAATTTTCTGACTTTCTGACTGGAATACTGCTCAACTACGACAGGGTCTTGATTCTGGGAGACTTTAATGTGCACGTTTGCTGTCCTGACAAGCCTTTGGTGCAGGAGTTTCTAAATCTGATACAATCTTTCAACCTTGTGCAAAATGTTGTTGGTCCAACTCATCAACAGGGCCATACACTTGATTTAGTTCTGTCTCACGGTTTATCTGTGGTTAATCTGGAAATTGGGGATGCTATTGTTTCAGATCACAAACCCATTTCATTCGAAAACTCTGTTATTCATGAGTCTAAATCCCCCGCTCCAGCCAAGAGTTGTCGGATATTTAACTCTTCAACCGCTGCTCTTTTTTCCTCTGCATTCATTACTGATGCTGCTTCAGTCCCTGAAACCTCTGCCTGTATTAGTACGCAGGAGCTGCTCAGTAGGGATGATGCG